ATGTAATCCAGATGCTTTCCAAACTGGTAAATCTCTGCTTATTTTCATTTCCAGCCTCTAGCCATATAGTCAGAGATGGTTTCATTTGCTGTTTGAATCCTGAAAGTAGAAGTGAAATATTGTACAATTCAGGACAGGTCAGACTGTAGATTTTTCCACCATCTCAAAGCCTTGTGTAGTCAGCTGGATCAATTAGAGCTGGTAAGTGTGTAGCAGGGTATAAAAGAAACCCCTTATGATCTGCAAAAACACCGTTGCAGTGCAGTAGGGCTCTGCACAAGGGTGCTAACTTATCACACAGCGTGCCTGCAAGCTGCACTGTGCAGTCTGGGCTGGATGTGGAAAGCAGGACACAGTGAGCATTGCTAGAGGCTCACCATGGCTGAAAGGTTATCATCCATCACCGACAGATCAGTTTTTCCTTCCTGAGGAAAGGAAGACCAGCAGACAGCATACTGAAGAACAGCATGCTTCTGAATCAAGAGATCAGGTTTCAGTGACTCTCTTGCTTTGTGTTTGGGCACCTGATACTTGGCAATTGCTTTACTTCTTTGCATGTCCTGACTAAATCACCCTGTGCCTCTCCTGTGCAAAGGGCATAGAGGGATTGACATCAGTTGTGCCTGGAAATTGAAGCTGTCCTGGTTTCATCTGGGATAGAGTTAATTTCTGTTAAACATCAACAGATGCCAATAAAGATTACTGAAGAAAGGCAGAAAGGGAGCAAGAAACATCCCATTAGAGTTTTTGACAGATGTAAGGTGCTGCAGATGGTCCAAATCTTCCCCAAAGCTTTTTGGTTTTGTTTTTTTTTTTTTTTTCCCAAGCAACTTCTTCCTTGAAGTTTTTCACATGTGTGTCCAGGCAAAAACATGGCACAAAGGAGCTGAGCTCAGCTCAATCTAGCCCCTAGACTGCTGAGGCCTGTGGCGTGCCTGCTCTTCATTTAAAGTAAGGAAATGCGTTGTTCCCATCAGCCAGTGAAACGAGAAATGTGAAGCCCCACTCCCAGCCAAACAAGTGATTTACCCTCAGTCCCAGTGACCAAAATCTGCTGTTGTTTTTGTCTGTTTCCAGAAAGTGTCTTCTTCTGCTCTTTACCCCATGGTGCTCCTCATTGCTCCCTGTCTCTTTAGACAGAGTGGCAGGAGGAAGAAATGACAGAGAGAGAATGATAAACCTAATCCGCGTTCTCAGTAGTATGCAGTACGCAAAGCCTTTCTGCTTCGGTTTATTCCAGAAACAGGATCTATTGAAACCCTCTATCCCTGCAGTACAGTATGGCCATTGCTAGTAACAGGCCACAGGTTTTGTACTGAGTTTACAAAGGCTCAGGACTGAGGCTTGCCAGGCTTGCTTTGCCTGGACTTTTATTGACCTGCCCTACTGCTTTATTTAAATTTGGTTTAGCTGTAGGAACATTTTTTTCCCCTCTGACCAGGTGGCTATGGCTGATTTGTTTTACTTTGAATCGTACTGTATGGTACAACCGTAGTTTTATACAGATAGCAGTAACAAGTAGCTTTTCTGTGCACCATGAGGTGTTTATGACTCCAGCTTAATATGTTAGAGTTAACAGAGTTAATCATAGGCCTGGTAAGACAGCAGAGATCTTGAGAAGTGGAGGCACAGGACGCGGTGCAGAGGAGTACAGGCATGGGATGGTAAGAGATGGGGCACAGGATTGACTCTGGAGACCCCACTGATACAAACAACTCACCTATGTTCAGTTAAATAAATTCAGATACAGAGCTGGACAAGAATTACTTTAGGAGGTAGCAAAGAGGACAAAGGAATAGTATCTTACATGTATAAAATCAACATATATAGTAAATTTGGATGTTAAAGGATTTTCAGTTCAATGAAGAGAAAACAAGGTATAAAAACATGTTAACAATCATAAAACTGACTCTCAGAAGATTCTAGAGTGAGGAAGAAGGAACCAGCACCACCAACCTCATATTCCTCCCACGGAAGGACTCCAGATGCTGACAATTGCCTGTACCACCACCACCACCAGAATGAAACCACCAACCTTTGTACCCAGATGAGCAAGGGCAGGGGGAGCATAACACCAGGAATAGGGGTAGAAGCTAAGAAGTGTGTGCATAACAATCTAAAATTATTATTAGTAGTAGTAGCATTAGTATTAGTATTATAATTATTGAAGCTTTTTCTGCATAGGAGTATTATTTATTTTTCTGTAATAATTAGATCTGGACGAGGAATGATTTTTTTTTATTAGAGTGCTAAGACTTCAGTTATAGTAACAATAAATTCTTGTCTTTTTATATAAGGTACATTTCCCTTTTGCCCAGAAACAATATTTTCAGTATAACACTGTAAGAAGATTTCCGAATAACTCAGAAACACACTATATTTCTCACAGGCTCACAACAACCAAATCTCTTTATGAGCTGAAACCACCATCAAAATGTGAGAAATGCTTCTGCCCGGGAGAGGTCTAAAGAGCCTCTTGGTCTAAATTGAAACGGTAAATGCTGTTTTGGGTAAAATCAACTTTTTTTTTTTTTTCAGTTTCACCCTTCAAAACTGTTCCTGCTCCCTTGGATGCTCTCTCTATGAGTCAAAACTGATTCTACTCACCTTCTAGACTGCACTTTGGCCAAGAGGGAAGCCACAACAAATACCTTATGAGTTAGAATGCGTTATTTTTATCCACAGATCAAAATTCAAAGAAATAAACAGAAACTCCCAAACTAGTAATCTTCTTCCAGTTCCTCTGTAAAGATTTCCACATTAATGTCTTCCATTTCTGATGGATCTATAATGATTTACAGATGCATTATGCTTGCAATAAAATTCAGAAGAGATGCATTGCCACCAAACATGTGCCCTCAGCTCCAGCTTTTCTAAACTGCTGGAAAAAACCAAAACAGTCCAAGGACAGGAGCCACCACAGCAGGCAGACCTGTGCCATTTAACACCACACTGAGGTGAGCAAACCATGGGAAACACTCCCCTAGCTTTGTGCTGGGCTTCCTGGGCAGAATTACAGTGTAACCTGTAATTACAATGTAACCTGCAATTGCAGATGTTTTCATGTCCTGGACATCCTAGGCCTGTGGTGTAGAGGTGATTGTTATAAGCCCAGTGGCCATTCCTGATTCTGGAATTTTGGCTTCCTTCTTCCTCGGAGATGCTTGCAGAATATTTTTTTTCTTGACTTTTACGTGTCTCTGTGCCAAGCTCAACTCCCTGCTCCTCACAGGACTACCTAAAAATAAACTGTATGACTAAGAGCATTGTCCAAATGCTCTTTGAACTCTGACGGGCTTGGTGCTGTGACCACTTCCCTGGGTGGCCTTATTTTAACCCCTGTAGCAGGTGAGGGTTGCTTAATGGCTATAAACCCTGGACAAAGACACAGCAATTTCTGGTCCAGCGCCCAGCCCCAACTGTGAGCTGCTCTGTAAAGCTGGGACATGTAAGGTGTGTGTGTCTTTTTCTGTACCTGCAGCATGGAAATAATTAAATCCATGTAATTCCTAGGGTACAGTCATGATTTACTAGTAGGAAAAGCCCTGTGAGAGCTTTAGACAAAAAAAGCTAGCTGCTTGAATACTAGTTGACCTCTCTTCCAAGTACCTAAGTCCAAGTTTCAGATGCTTTGGGTTAGCAACTAGAGAAATAAAATGTGTCCCCAAGTGTTCAACTAATGTCTGACCCAGAGCAGGCTGGAGTCAGTGGGAGCCTCCCTGTGCACTCCAGCAGGCTTTGGATCTGGCCCTGAGCATGCACATGGTTTATTATGACCATGGGTGCAAGACAGGTAAGACCATGTGCAAATGACAATGTAGCAGCATTTCCATGCATAACCACAGTAATGGTGGGCGAAAACTGGACATATACTTATTTATTCCAACTATACAAAAACTGGCCCTAAAATGAAATGTTCCAGGCTATGGACTGGAACACCCAGAACTTTGGAAGATGTACTAGATCTAGACCCAGTTTTGAGAGTGGTTTTGTTTTTTTCCTTGAATGACCCCAGATATCATTTGGAGATGTTCAGATTTGATACTTGAATACTCTAAAGTTTGAATATACTGAATATATATTTGTCTCCTTGCTAAATGAAAAGAAGAATACTTGATTTGCTGTATTTTCCCTGTTTTCCTATCAATATGGTGAGGTACCATCTTACTGCAATCTGTTTACTTATAAGATGTGTGGAAGCTCTCCTTTCTTAAACACAAGTTGCCATAAAAGCTGCTTAGTTTGTTTCTTTCCTGTGAATTCAATTTTGGTCGGGTCCTTCTGCCTCACCCAACAGGCACTACCCCCTCAAGCCTGTAGGCCTTGGTCCTCTGTGTTTTACCAGGGTGTTGCACAAGTCTGATTGCTCAATCCCACTTTCCCCCACTGCAACTGGTTCTGACCCCAGTCCTGGAGCATGACATCTGAGAAGTGTTTAGATCAAAGCTCTCCATCCGCCAGTGGGGTTTGGCCATTAACCTTTTGCTTATGTACTTGCTGTGCAATAGAGGCACTTCAAGTATTTCCTTGCTAAACAAAGGCAGGTGTTTAAACTGAGCAATACAGTTTATGATTCTGGGCATAGTTAATCCATGTACCGTTCTACTCTTTTCTCTGCAGATTAATGCTGGGATCTTAAACATCACTGATGACTTATAGACAATCCATTAACATCAGTGGCTCCTAAGTGGCTAGCCATACCATTATTTATAAAATAGGGATCCCTTCCTAATGCTACAGTTCCCAATCTCTTGATTTCCTGAGCATATAATCATGCGTATTATCAACTGTGGAGCATTTTACACTGCTACATATTTTTTACTCTATAATGAGCTCTGTGTGTGAGTGACATACAAAAAATAGCCGAATATTGCTTTTGCACTTACTGCAATGTATGAACTGATCTGGTTAGACATGAAATGCAGACAGAAATCCGCCTCACCTCTCAAGCTAATTTTAGTCTCTCCCTCTCTTCTCTCTAGCTGTGTGTGTATAAAATCACTCACGGTCTGACAGCGTTCCAGTAACCTGTGCCACGCTCAGAGTGGGATGTACTTACTAACCATCTGCTTGCATGGCATGGGTTAACCGAGCCTGTGGGATTGTGCTTACCTAAACAAAACCACTGCAGTGAGAGGAAAAACAATGAATGGGTGGAGATGATCAGCCCATGCATTCCAGCTAGTGCAGTCCAGGCAGCAATGACAGCCTGAAGGTTGCAGCAGCATCGGGATCTGCATTCCAAGTGCACAGATCTTACAGTCTGGAGTGATTTTACGTGGAGCTGCTCTTTATTTGTTGAGCCATGGCCAGTAACCAGGCCAGTCTGCAGGATGATCAGAGCAGGCACTGCAAGTTCTTATCCTATATGTTCTACCAGGCAGTGAGAGACCACAAGCCTGTGTGGATGCTGGAAGACATGAGAACTATGGAGTATTTTTACTGGGAGGAAAATGCCAGCCTAAGAACCTACTCACCTTCAGAAGCCCTTCTCTATGCAGTGGTGCATAACCACCTGCCTTATGCTCAGTATCTGCTGTCTCATTTTCCAGAGGAGGCTCTCAAGGTGCCTGGGGAACACTTCTGCTATTGCCCATCCTCTGCTCCTCACTTGGCCATGGCGGTCACATATGACAGGAGAGATATTTTGGGGCTGATCATCAAAATTGCACACAAGCTCCCCAGCTTGAACTCCTACATCAATAGGACTGGCTGCTTTCATCTGGAAGATGGGAAAACCCCCCTGCACCTTGCCTGTGAACTGCTGAGATCAGAGACGGTCCTCATCCTTCTTGGGAATGGAGCTTCTCCTAGGATAGAGGACAGTAAAGGGCTTACCCCACTGGACGTCATCCTGGAGCAGATGTGGGACTCCAAAGTTAATGTGGCATCAAAGAAGCTCTGCCTCGACTACCTCTTGCTCTTCATGCCCAACCCACAGTTTAAGATGCGGAAAGTTCTGCAGGAGCACCCGGAACACTGGACAGCTTTGCTGGGGGAAGACAAATTCAACAGCCTGGTGGGGAACACACCTGCTTCTTTATATCTGCAAGCTATGCAAACTATTCTCCAGACTCTTCCCCCCTCCCACTTCCCTAAAAGCATCCAGGAACTACCTATACCTCAGGCACTAAAGCCCTTACCATCCTATGGCAAAAAGCTACCGACAAAAAATGTGGTAAATGTTTTTCCTTGACTTTATTCACTGGGTCTTGGATTTTCAAAGGCAACTTAGGGGAGCTGGTCATCTGCCAGCCTCTGCATTTTAGTGTGATTTTAGTACTTAACCTATTAGGCTATGCTGGAAAATCCAATATTTTGTGACAGGATTTTAAATGTCTTTTCTAATTGATTGCAGGCACGGCACTTTTAAAGGCAAAAGCCTTCCTTGTTTTCTGTTGTGTTGTGCATGTGAAGGGTTAACTGTAGTCGAGACTGTGTTATGTTTGGTTTCTTAGCTGTCAGCTGATATCAGTGTATCTGAATTCCCAATATGATAACTGTATCCTGTGTAACTTACCTGGGTAAAAAGGAACTACGTGCCCAGTGGGATTTTCAAATGGTGTAACTATGGGACTGTGTTCTGCTAGAGATGGGAGAAATACCATCCTGTACCAACAGGGTTCAAATGTCAGGTTTCCTTTCTAACAATGATCTAGCATCATCTAGTAATAACCAAAAAGTCCATGGCTGATGCTGCAGGAACGTAGAGGCAGTCCTGCAGAGCACCTGATTTTTTTCTGTTACTTTATAGCAGGTCATAGTTGGAGGGCATGAGTTCAGAGATGAGCAGTGAGTGTATATTCCTGGTGGGGGGGATAGAGACCAGCAGCAGAGTTAACAGAAAGCATCCTGTCTCACCTGGGAGTGAGGGGGTTAAAGGCAATCCCAGCCCTGATGCCTCTACAGTCTTGTGCAGTGGGGAAGGAACCATCTTCCCTGCTGTCCAGTAAACAAATGGAAATCAGAGCAGGGCCAGTGAAAGCCCTGTCATTCATAAGTGACATTATTTCTCCTTGACTGTTGTTTTAAGGGATGAGCATATTTCTACAAGAGATGTAGCTCACTAACTTGATTTCCCAGTGGGTCTCAGAGCCACCGGCATTTGCTACTTATCCTAAGCTGGGGTATGATGTTCTGCTGTCAGAAGTTGTCACTTGTTGTCAAATTAGAGTATTTTTGCCACTCGGGTCCAGACAGATGGCCTGATCCTGGAACACACAGAGTTCCCATTGACTCCCCTGAGCACTGCAGGCAGGGTGTGTGCAGCAAGCAGAGCTGGGGCTGCCCTGATTTCTGGGGAGCTCTGCACCTCGCTGCCCAGGCAGAGCCCTGTCTGCTCAAGGCACTGGTTCTGCTCTCCCGGCCATGCTCAGCACCAAGTCTCTTTGGGGGACATCCATTATTTTGGACCCCAATGTTCTCCTCTCTTTGTAAGTGCAACCACCTGCTCTGCTGAAGTAACGTAACCCACTTCCCCAGATCTGTACTGAACAGCAGTGAAGAAATCACTCATCTCTTTAAATAAATTTGGAGCCAAAGGCAGAGGGGCACAAACCCCTCTTAGCAAGGCTCTGGCTAAGAAAGGATGTGGATTCACATTTCAATTGCTCCGTGCAAAAATGGCTCATGTCTCATCTGGCTAATTCCCTGCCTGTGCCGAGGCGGCTGTGCGGGAGCTGCACCCTTTTTTCCCTCAGCACAGGGAGCACTTCCACCCAGTTTCCCCGTGCGCGGGTACCTCCCGTGTGCCCGGATGCCGGCGATGGCAGCCACAGCCAGGTGGAGATTTCCCGCAGGGCTGCGCAATGCACCGGGCACAGCCAACTGGAACATCCTTTCGGAGACACGGGACGCTCCTCCCGGACACCCCTTCCCACGTGCCGTGGAAGCACATCGGTGCCGGTGCTGCCCGCGCTGCACTGGGTGAAGACGCAGGCTTGCTTGTGAGATGGAGAAAATGTCAGCCCAGTCCTAAAAGTGGCAAGCAGGCCACGAAGGGGTTAACCATTTTCCTGAAATCCCACATCCCTGGTACTGCAGTGTCCTTCCACCCCAGCCCCTGGGGACTTGCATGTCTTTCCCCATCTGTGTCTATCCCTCCTTGTTCGAAGGGGGGAGGGTGTGAACGACAATGGAGAAATTCAGGGTCAATCTTGGGCAAGGGTTTTGCGGAGAGGCTGCTTGCTCAGCAGCCTCTGCTGCAGACGGAGGCTGTCACAGCTCTCACAGCTCGGGAAGCAAAGCGGAGCCCAAGGCAGATTTCCATTATAAGCCGAGCTGCTTCTGGCAAGCCCTGCAGGCTCCCCAGCCCTGGCAGCCCCCAAAAACCTGGGGCTGGAGGCAGAGGACAAAGCAGGTGCTCGCTACCTGAGGCTGCTGCCGAGAGCAGCTGTGCAGAGCACGGCCCCTGTGGCACCCCTGGGGGCCTGAGGAGCGGGACTGGGTCTGCCCCAGCGGCAATGCGGTATCTCATCCAGATGTCAGTGGGCGAGAGGCGGAGGAGGCTGGTGATGGATATTATTAGAATAGTAATTAGGCCCCGGGAACAGAGATCCCAGGGAAGGAGGGAAGGGAAATCATCAATTGTTATTGCACTGGCTCGAAACCATGAGTTTCGGTGCTATAAAGAGTTTCGGAAAAGACAGGAGGGAGGGGAAGGGTGTTTGACTTAAAAATCAAAAGAGGCAGGTGGGGATTCTTGGCACTAATGAGGTAGCAGTTTCTAATAAGGCAGGGGGCTGTCCCCAGAGAGCCAGAGCAACCCAGTGGGAGCAAGTGGGTCTAAAATGGTTCAGGGTTCTCCTACTGACAGTAATAGTTGGGGGCCGTTGCAAAGGCCAGGGTTCAGGCACTTCAGGCTTTATGGGTGGATTTGTAGCAGGCAGCAGGAAACTTGTGTGCGTGCTTTTGTCCATGTGGGAGGCTACCCTCTATCCACTGGCCCAGGCAGAGGATAAGAGATGGATTCTCAGCAACTGCTCAAGCAACTCAAATTCTGGGGGATATCTGCGCCTGGTACCACAGCCTGGAAAAATGTTGCAGACCCACTGTTGGCCAACATGAGAAATGTCTGGTTTGCTCAGCCCAGTGGGCAATAGGCAGCTACCCATGCTGGAAAGATCACTCCACAGCCCTCTCATTCCTCCTTTTCCTGATCATTTTAACAAGAGATCAAGCACCAGCTGGCCCTCAGCTGCTGAGCTACCATCTGACCTCCATGTGCGGTCCCACTGGGCCAGAGTTTAGGGCCTTTAGCCTTGTGGTGACAACTCTTTCCATCTCCTGTAGTGATCTGAGTGCAGGATGGGGTGTCTTTCTGCTGGAATGGAGGAATCTTCTCCCTAAACCTCGTTTGCTTATCTTGTGGTGACCTGCCTGTTAGTTTGAGATCCCATTTGTCTTCCTGCTCAGTACAGTGACATTATATCAGATATGGCCAAATCTACCTCAGCCCCATCTGTGTTGATTTTTTTCCTGCAACCTGACAGTCCATACTCTTGAAAAATCCCTATGCTTGCATGACAAATATGTTAGTGACTTTGTTAATCAAAAAGGGTGCTAGGTGCTGTGTAGTGATGTTTACATTTTGCATATATACATACTGAGTAAGTGTAGCTAAGATCTGTATTTCTGAACTTGGGAAAAAGAATAAAAGCAAAAGAGAAAAGGGAGAGAGTAAAGTCTCTGCTATTCTTTGGATTGCAGGTTGGCTCTGCAGGTTTTAATTTCAATTTCAAAGAGTAGCATTGTAAGGATCTGAGTTGTGTGTTTTTGTGTGTGACAAGTTTTGATGAGTATCACCTCAGTGAGCACCTTGGTGTGTGCATGTACGTGTGTGTATAAACGCAGGGGTGCATGTGGGGCACATGTATGTCTGTGTCTCTGTCTGCCCTCTCCTGGTAAAACTCATAACTGATTTACAATACTTGCCCACTCCAGTACTTGTACACATCAGTGATCAATGCCTTAAGCAAGCAGCCTTTTCATGAGATAAGTGTGTGTCCCAAGCTCTGTGCTGCTAACAGGTAAGGACATTTCTTCTTTTCTTGTAAAGAGGCAGCAGCTTGGCTCTTGTAATGGGTGTTTTACCCCTGAACACCAAGCACGAGGGCTTCTGCTTGCCAACAACCTCAATCATCCAGGGAAGGGTTTGTGATAGTGGCCACATTTTATTCTCAAATCCACGTTTTTTTGGTTTTTTGTTTTTTGTTTTTTTTTTTAATAAAACCTACTAAAGATGCATCTTTGCTTTTCTTTTCTCTGGGCTGCCAGCAAAATTCAGCCACCTATGACTTCCTAACCCTATGCTTCTGTCTATTTCCGCAGCACCATTAGCAGGAAGGACAGGCCAGATTCTGACCTCAGTTACACCTCTTTACACCTGAAGTAATGCTTTTTAAGTCAATTGCATCACTCCTGATATTTGTTGGTCTAAAGGAAAACAGAAACTGTTTGTGCACTTATATTCTTCAAGGCTCCGTAACTCTGACTTCAGCATATAAATAAATGTGACACTTAATCCCTGAAAACATTTTTTACAGTTTTTGTACTGTGAATGTATATAGATATATATTTTCCATCTCTCTAACACCAATTGGCATTTCCTTGTTCCCAGTTCCCTTGGCATTTTTGGAATCAGCATGACAGTGACAGACGCTGTTGTTCACCGATTAAGATCGAATGTTGCCATGCCCAAGTACAAATGAATGTTCATTGTATGATATGACTTTCTTATAAAGCCATACTTTTGTAATTTTGGTTTCTCTTTTTTAGGGAAAAAAAAAATCTTCCATATAATTGTGTTTGTACATTACTCGCTGCATGATTAAAGATAAAAAGATTGTAACGTGCTGGGAATAAAATATATATACATAGCCTGATATAGTTAGGTATATTAGCTGTGAAATTAACTTAATCTGATTGTATTACCATAATAAAGTTGCAGTAAAAACTTGATGTGTCTTTTATTAGCCAGTTGGTCAAAACCATCCACCAGTATCTATTAGTTTTGCTTTAGCTCATCCTGGTGTTTGATGATTTCATTCTGACTGCTGAGCCATTACCTCCAAAAATGTGATCTGAGGAAAACAGTATTTTCTTTCACAGGCTTGCAATAGCTGGCTGTGTTGTCAGAGGATGACCCCAAGTGATGAGGTGAACCCACATTTCACAGATCCGCTGCAAGGTGGTGATGAATCAGAAGAAGGGACTCAACAGGGGCGAATGGTAATTGGTTTTGGAGATGTTCATCTTTTAGGTTTGAGTTCAGCTCATGGCAGCTTATGACAAAGCTGTGAATATAATGCTGCTGGCAGCCTCATTTTCCTGTCTGGTTTGTATGCCATCAACAAGCTCCTTTCCTTCCTAAGGTTTTTCTCTATTTGGAAAGATGCCCTGGTAAGGCTTCCAGCACCAACCCCAACTTCTCCTATAAGGCTCAGCTGCTGCTCAAGCTCCTCAGGCAGACATGCACCTCTCACCCGCAGTGCTCCCCTTGGGGTAATGATCCACCAGCTTCTGTGCACAAACACAGACCACCCAGCTCCTCTGTTGCCCTGCCAAAATCAGCTACCCAAAGCATTTCCGATGATGGGTAGCTGGTTTTGATGATGATGATGATCACAGGGCTTGGACTGCACCACCAATGGTACCCACAGATCTCCTCAGTGTGTGCTAGCACATACAACCTATAACCAAAGGAGTTAGTACTTCAGCATGTGCTTGCATAAGTTACTGGTTTCACAGAAGAAAGCAGAAAGGGGAATTGTATCACTTAAAGAAGGCCAAGACTATCTCCTTGCCTTCATAGTGGGAGATTTAGCCCTGACTACTCCACCACAAGAATGTGGTCACCAAAGATATGTTTTCTGGTTTATTTGCTCCCACCTTTCCTGTATGTGAGAATGAGAAACTGATTCAATTTGTGTCGTGTGCTGGCAGCTCCTCTGAGGCTGACTGTCATGGCACTAGTGAGCAGCTCTGGCAGCTGAGGGAGTCCTGGGCTGCTGCATCCTTCAGAGCCAGTCTCATCTAAGTATCAGGTTTTTTACAACTGTAGTTAGTTGTAGCCCACGCATCAGCAGGCAGCAAGATAGGTATTTAAATAGAGAGAGAAATGTAAAGGGTATATTCCCTTGTGTGTGGGGAAGTAGTGTCAGAAGCAGATGATGCATTGCCTGAAATCCTGCCTACATCTCAGTTACATGAGTGAGTCACCCCAAGTGCAGCTGATGATAGGTTTGGTATGTCCCATACTAGCCCATGTCTGTCTGGCCAGCACAGCAGCAACACTGTCTGGGAGCACGCACTGTGCTCTGCTGCACCACCATGCTGGGCTGATGATATGGATGACTGTGCGCAGCTGTCGGGATCCAGCTCCCAAGATGCCCACAGTTGTCTCTAGCACTTCAGAAGCCATTCTGAAGCCAGGTTACTCTAGGGGTAACTCCCAAAGGCAGCTTGAATTGAAAAATCAATCATCATTTTCCTGACTCGGTCCCAGTTCCAGCTCTAGTAAAGTGTGCTTGTGTTTTGCTGTGGTTCTCCTGTGAAGCATTTATTGCTAGTGGGAAGGCTTTTGGTGAATTTCATGAATACATACGGAGAGAAGATAGCTGTGCTCTGTACACCAGCTATGCCCACTCACGCCACCAGATGGGCAGATTCCTGTGCAGAGCTGTGAGGAGGAGGAATGATTATCACAGAGTTGTCAGACTCATGAAAGAAAACCAGGGAGAAAAGAAGGGAAGAAGAGGATTGGGAGAGGCAGTATGCCAAGATCCCTTCTGGGAAGCAGATCTTACAGTTAAACAGAAATAGGGAAAATAGCTGGGAGAATCCCAAACCACAGTACAAGCTAGAAGAAGCACAAAAGCACAGAAACCACCCCCTGCCATATTCTCCTGGAGCTTGGCTTCAGGGTCAGAGAACGTCAGGTACCAGACTCAAAACTGAGGCAATAAAATGCTGTTGTTGTTTGAGTCTGGTCGGCAGCCAACCACCACGCAGCCACTCTCTCTCCCTTCTCTTCCGGCAATGGGAAGGGACAGAGAGCCAGGCTTGGGGTTTGAGATAGGACTGGGATGGGGAAAAAAATCACCCTTTATGGTCACAAGCAAAAGGCAGACTTGTTAGGGGAAGAAAAAAAAGAACATACATTTATTACAGACACTAACAACACGTAACAGAGTAGGACAGTGGGAAGCATTGCCACATCTTGAGAACACCTTCCCCCCCACCCCTCCCTTCTTCCCGGGCTCAGCTCTGCTCCCGATATCTCTACCTCCTCCCCCAGTGGCGCAGGGGCAGGGAATGGGGGGTGCAGTCAGTGCTGCCACTTTCTTCATCTTCGATGGGGGGAGCTTCTGGAACTTCTTCCCCCTGCTCCAGCGTGCTCCCCCTCTCACAGGAGACAGTCCTCCACAAACTTTCTCCAACATGAGTCCCTCCCATGGGCCGCAGCATTCCCCACACTGCTCCATCATGGGTCACCAACTTTCTCCGACTGGATTCTCTCCCACGGCTGCAGCCCTTCCCGAGCTGCTCTGGCATGGGACACCCCCTCATGCTGCAATCCTCCCAGCACTGAATTACAGCAGCGGGGCTGCCTTTTCCCACGAGACCCCAGCCTTCTTTGGGCACAGCACCTTGATCAATCAGGCGGAAGCCACAGGCCTTAAACAATGTCTGCTCCACCGTAGATCTTCATGGGTGGCAGGGGGGGTCACCCTGCCGTCTCACCACAGGATACAGGGGGGTCTCTGCTCCGGCACACCTCCCCCCTCCTTTCTTCCTCCGTTCCTCCACTGACCTTGGTGTTCATGCAGCTGCAGCAACTGTTCCTCACAAGTCCCACTGCCCGTCACCACGTCCCTTCTTAAATACGTTATCGCAGAGGCGCAGCTGATGGGCTCAGTTTCCAAACAGAAGTGGAGCTGACTTGGAGCTGGGGGAGCTTTGAGAAGCTTCTCACAGGGGGCCGCCCCTATAGCCCCCTCCCCTGCCACCAGAAGAACTCCAGCACTCACTCAACCCAGGACAAATGCCCTCACTGGCCACATTCTGGCTCACATCTAGATCAGGTGGTCTTTGTCTCATATGGAGAGATATTGTCATGAAGTCTTCAAGCTGGCGTAAGCAGGCATTGGCATAAGTGTCTCAGAGACACGGGTCCACCCTGCTTCTGCCTACCTGCTCCCTCCTCCTGCCCTCAACTGAGTAAGCTCCAGCAAAGCTGGGTCATGGTGCTGTCACACCAGTGCCAGTGCCACCCAAGGGGACAGGGGCAATAAGCAACCAGGTAGGGGGTATTAGTCTTTTCCAAGGTTGCTTTTAACTTCAGCAGTAGAAGATCTTGTTCTTTGATGCAAAATTAAACAGGGAAGATCTCTAGTAATGCTGAACCAAGCCCCACTCTATCATGCTGTACATTTTGTACACATAAGGAATATCTTAACTGTCTCCTTAGACAGAGTAGACTTGGTATGCTCATAACAGTGAAGGTTTCTGAATTGGGAGAAGAGGCTGACAAGCATTAGGAAAGGAAATAATCACTAGAGCTGACTGGAAATTGGTGTTTCTATTCCGCCAAAAATGACAATATTGAAAAACACGATCCAGTTCTGATTCAGAATTAAAATTAAAAATACCAAAATTGGTATGGACTCAGTTTTACAAAGAAAATCGATCCAGATCTATCAAAATATTAATTAAAGAATAGCAAAATTCTGATGTTATAATATTTGGGGTTTGGTTTTAATATTTTATCATATATCGTAGTGTTAAAGCACTATAAAATAATGAAAATAGCATGCATTTAAATTCCTCAGTAGTAGCACAATTTAAAAAAAAAAAAAAAAAGACAAAGTCAAAATTTGCTTTAGCAAAGCAAACTATCCTGGTAGCTGAAACTCTTTGTTCAGGTTTTCTTCTACCAGAATTTTTGTCAAAACAAGAACATAAAAACCACACTGCTGGGTCCACACAGCACCATGCTGTGTCTCCAGCACTGGCAAAAGGAGAGGCCAGGTAAGGAGAGCAACTTAGCCTGGCCAATTTCTGGAGCGTGTTCCCTGATTACTCCCTCCGTATCCACAAGCTGTTGGGCATGTTAGAGGGTACACCCTTGCCTAGTCCTTTAGTATTCATCTTTTGACCCGGTGTTCCAAATCTGTCCATTTCTTTTTTGAGTCTGTTGATACAGTCACATTCACAACACTCTATGGCAGCAAGTTACATTTATCTGCACCAAAGCTCATCTGCCACTTTTTTGACCACTCAATTTAGTGAGGTCCTTCAGGTTTTTTTTTGCTATCTGTGTAGTGTTTGCATACTTGAAAAAGTCCAGTACCACTGCAAACACAGAGACATCACCATTCACTCCCTTCTCCAGTCACTGGTTATATATTAAACAAAACTGATTCCAGCACTGATCCCTGGGGGACCCCATTGCTGGCTCTTCTCCATGCCAACCACTAAATCCCAAACTTCCCATGCTGTAACCAGCTCTCACTCCATGAAATAATTCCTGCAATCCCATGGCAGCTTAATTTAATAACCTTTAGTATGGAAACTTGACAACAGATTTTTGAAAAATAATCTGAACATTATGCTCACTGGATCTCTCCTTTTTTCTCTATCCTTTTAAGTTAGGTAAGTCAAACAATTCAATTTTGATGAACGTACATTTTGCAGTACAGAAAATCTGTTCTGACAAGAAACATCAGAATTAAAAAGCACTGTCCATCAGCAGGACCTAAAGATTTTTATGAATTGTGCAGTCTCCCCCAGCATGGAAATATTACCCCATGTGACATGGAAGTTGGCAGAGCAGCTCAATACCTCCCTGTGGAACCTGCCTGTCCAGTTATCCGCTCCACTAAAGACTTGAAAAGCTAGATTTTGGGCTTGTAAAATATAGCA